TGTGCGGAGAGCGACGGGTCGTGCGCGGTGGCCGACGGCGATGCAGGGCAGCGACAGCGGAGGAGTAGGGATTTGGGGAAGTGGCCGTGGGGGAAGAACGAACCGCGCGGTTAAGTTAAAAGTAGTAGTAGCGCATTCCAGGAAGTGCGCTTCTGCTACGGTAGCTATAGCACGTTTCTTGACAAGCGCTACTGCTATTCCTTCTCTTTTTTTATCTGCTTTCCATTTAATTTTATTTTCGTTAGCAGTAGCGCCTTTGTTTGTAAACGCGTTGCTACAAAACAAGTAGAGGTAGCGCGGTTCTACGTAGATCGCTACTACTATGTGTAGCCTATCGGCTAAGCCGTGGGAATTTTAGTAGTAGCACTTTTGTACTCGGGCGCGCTACTGCTATAACTGTATCTGTAGCGCGGTTTAAAACACCGCGCTGCTGCTAATTAGCACCAACGTGCGTTTTTAGCCCGCGCTACTGCTAATGTTCTGTGTATAAGGTTTTCCCTAGTAGTGTCAGGCTCTCTCTGATTTCGTGGTCATATAAACGACAACCCACGGTCTCACGATCAAGCGCCGAGGCTGAGTACAGGGATGTGGCCAACGCCATCATCGAGTGTTCCTGGATACGACAGCTACTTCAGGAGTTGCTATGTGAGGTTCCCAAGGCCACGCTTGTCTACTGTGACAACGTCTCCGCGGTCTACCTCGCTGCGAACCCTGTCCATCACCGACAGACGAAGCATATTGAGCTCGACATTCACTTCCTTCGGGAGCACGTCGCACTTGGTCGTGTTCGAGTTCTGCATGTACCCACCGATCAGTAGTTCGCCGATGTTATGACGAAGGGGCTACCTACCTCGACCTTCGAGGGCTTTCGTTCCAGTCTTTGCGTCACCAGCGACGCTTTGACTGCGGGGTGGGGGGGTGTTGAACATGTCTGCATGTACGTAGGTTTGGGTTTTGTATGCCGCATCTGTAGTATCTCTCTCCCTCTGTATGTACTTGTATCTTGGAAGACAAGACACCGTCGCACCCCCTATTCCTATATATATGTGCCTAGTGCAATATCAATTATTATTGATGCACCAAATCATTCTCTACAGATGCCGTGCAACAACTGCCTCTTCCTCTTCTCCGGCTGGTGCCCCCTGGGAGTTGTGGCTGCTCCTCTCAGCGATCATCGCCATATTCGTTTCTATGTGCTGTTGTGCGGAGATGCACGAGCAACAGCGCAACTCCAGCTGGCACTGAACTGCTCCATAGTTACTGGCCATGTCGGCACTGCCCGTGGCTACACTCATTATTTTGAAGTACGCACAGCGTCAGCCCACTCACAATTTGACCATATGCGCAAATTTTGCTAGTGGTACATGTGATGCGTGGATCACGAGTTAATTGTACATATGCGTGAATCATATACTCCTTGTGTTGCTGTCCTTCGCTCAAACTTCAGCTATGGTTGTACCGTATGTCACCTCGGACCATGTACCTCTGTTGGTCCAGTTTGGCAACACCCAGGTTAAAAGCAAACTCTTCAGGATGGAAAACCACTGGCTTCAAATGGAGGAAATAAGATCCATCATCCAAAACAGTTGGGGCCAAAGTACCGGGCTAATTCGCTCGGCTGCTTCTCTCATTAACCTGAAGATGAGGCGAAGCCGTGCTGCCTTACGACGTTGGAAGAGAAGCAGGGCCAGTTTGGATCTACTCATTTCCAATAATAAGAATGTGGTGCTCTATCTCGATGATGTTGAAGAACGGCGATCTTTATCGCTGCTAGAAAGGGTCCTGAGAACTTTTGCTACCGACAAATCAGAGTTGCTTATTTTGTAGCAAACTGCTTCATGGAGATGGAGGGCTAAACTCCGTTGGTGTGTTTCTGGAGATGAAAACTGCAGCTTCTTCCACGCTGCTGCCAATGGCCATGCTAGACGGAACAAGGCCAGAGTGCTTGTCAAAGACGGAGTTGAGTTTTTTGACAACCAGCACAAGCTTCAGTTGGCAACCGAGTACTTCTCTGCTCTTCTGGGTCAGCCTTCCCCCTCTCTACCTACAGTTCAGCTTGATCAAATCTATGAGCACGACGACTTGTCGTGCCTCGCGAGGGAGTTCACCTGGGAGGAAATCGTCGAAGCTATTAACCATCCACCAAACAACCGTAGCCCTGGCCCGGATGGCTTTACTAATGAGTTCTATAAAGCCTTCCACGACGTTGTCAAAGCTGACTTGCAACTCTTCTTCTCCCAATTCTATCAGAATCAGCTGGACCTATTTGGCATTAACCTGGCTCACATCTCCCTCCTGCCAAAGAAGGAAACCCCGCTTGAACTCAAGGACTTCAGGCCAATCTCTATAGTACACAACGTGCCCAAACTTGCAAGCAAAGTACTAACCAAGAGGCTTCAAGATCAGATCCCCGTCTTAATTCACTCCCTGCAATCAAGCTTTATCAAGGGTCGGGCCATTGTAGAAAACTTTGCTTTGGCTGCAGACATGATCCAAACGGCACATAAAAGGAAGTTGCCCATGGTGGCCCTCAAGTTGGATTTTCAAAAGGCTTTCGACTCCGTCAGCTGGTCATGCCTTCTCAGCGTTTTATCTATCCGAGGTTTCCCTCAGCATTGGATCGGTTGGATTGAATGTCTGTTGTCCACGGCAACCTCTCGCGTCATGTTGAATGGGGAGCTGGGTGACTCTTTTGCTAATAAGCGAGGCTTCAGACAGGGCGATTCTATATCGCCATATCTTTTATTCAAGTGGCTGATGTTCTACAACGCCTTTGCTGCTCTGCTTTTGAAGGTGGCAATTTGATTCACCCTCTTGGATCGGACAGGATGTTCCCAGTTCTGCAGTACGCCAATGACACCTTAATCCTCTTCCATGGCAGCATGGAGCAAGCTACCATCATTAAGAAGATTATGTCTGATTTCTCTGCCTTCTTTGGGTTGCAGATCAACTACCACAAGAGCACTCTCATCCCAATTTGTATAGACACCTCTACCACTGATGCGATCGTTGGCTTGTTTGGATGCCCAGCCTCAAGTTTCCCTTGCACATACCTCGGCTTGCCCCTCTCTCTACACAAGGTTCGACATGACTTGCTGCTACCAGTCATTCATAAGGTTGACAAGAGATTATCTGGATGGATGGCTACTCTCTTGTCTTGGGGCGGCAGACTTACGCTGATTAATTCGGTCCTGGCTAGCATTCCAAGTTACTTCATGACATGTTTCCGCTGGCCAAAGGAATGCATACACAAGCTAGAGGGCTTGTTGAGATCGTTCCTATGGCAAGGCACGAGCACGGCAAAAGGGGGGCAGTGTCTAGTTGCTTGGCATTTCGTCACCATGACGCGATCTGCTGGTGGCCTGGGTGTTAGAGATTTATCTGCGCACAATCAGGCTCTACTAACCAAGTTTGCAGCTCGGGTTCTTGAATACTCGAACTACTCGAACGTTCCCTGCTATCAATGGTTCGCCCAGCAATACTACCACGGTTCCTTACCCAGGAGAAACTACGCTCGGGACACTGCAATCTGGAATGGTTTTAAGCAATCCATCCCCATGATACTCGCCTCTTCAAAATGCTCCTTGGGTTCTGGGAAGTTAATCTCTTTCTGGCATGACTGTTGGCTCCTGATGGGATGTTTAAGCTCTGCTCTACCTACTTTATACACTTTTGCAAGAGATCAGGACTGTTCCGTGGCCTCTCAACGCTCTCAAGGATCTTGGCACCTACAGTTTCACCCCAATCTGTCAGCCACAGCCAACAATGATTTACAGCTCCTTCACTCAGTCCTGGCTTCTGCCATGCCATCGTCAAATCGTCCAGACACCAGGTTTTCTGCCATCAATAACAAGACCATCACTGCAGCTCACGTCTATGAGCTACTCACCTTCAGAGGAATGTCTTGTGTCTATAGTTCATGGATTTGGGACCGGATCATTCCCCTCAAGCACCGTGTCTTCTTATGGCTCCTGTTCTGGGGCCGGCTCAATACTCGAGATAATATGATGAAGAAACATTGGACGTCGATTGTGACACAAAAGGATTGTGTTATCTATCCTGCTCCTGAATCTGCATCGCACCTGGTGCTACGTTGCTATCCAGCTTCAGTGATTTGGGACGTGTTCGGCCTGAATGACCTTGCCTCCAGTTCTCTGGACCTCCTCAGCTTTGTGGAGCAAGCTGAACAGCGTTGGCCAGCCACTAGTAAGTTTCATATTCTCTTTGCTGCCCCCGCTGTCACAACATGGCACGCCCGGAATGACCGGGTTTTCAACTCTAAGAGATGGTCCTCGGCTTATATAAAACAGTACGTGACACAGTTGCTTCATCTTTGGCAAAGTAGGAGCCGTGAGCAGGATGACAACGATGCTATGGACGCGTGGACACATTGCCTAGCCTAGCTTAAGCTAGTTTCAGTTTAAGCTAGTTCAGTTTAAGTTAGATAGGTGGTTATCTCTCTCTTCTCTCCTCCCCCCTTACTTGTATCTCTCCAAACTGGTGGCTTATAGCCAGGGCACCTTGGTGCTAAACATAAGCTTCATGTAATCGACCCCTCCGGTCCTCAGGCTTTGTTGCCTGTTGTGAAATATATAAGGTAGACCATATCTACCTTTCATTTCAAAATATATATACTCCTTGCGTCGGCGGCGCACAACACTATTGTTAAAGTATACAATTAACTCATTCGACGCTCAGCACTACTTCTTGCGTCGGCGATAGAAGTGAGACTGGGATAACTCGTTGAACGCCCAACGCTACTTCTTGCTTCGGCGCAAGTGAGACTGGGATAAAAATGCTGGAGCTTCTGTTCCAGTTCGAGAATTCATCAAATTAACCAGTTAACTTGCCGATACTCATAGGTTCACCGAATAGTCAATAAACTAAAAAATCATCCGATTAATTGATTGAATGGCTGATTAACTTATCGATTAGTCTTTTAATCCCCTACTCCCACCAGCCAACCGAGCAGCTCCCAGTTAACAATTTCCTCAATAATGCTTTAAATGAAGCGTTAATTGTGGATGCTCTAATCCCTCCTAATCTTTCACTGACCCCTTGTGAAATTCACTGAGGGGCCTGGTAACAAACCATGTGATACCATGTCACGCTGTAATGTAATCCCATAGAAAATATGCCATAAGTGTAGCGAAACTCATACACAATCCTCTTGAAGTCAACATGGAACATGCACGGTGCGTGATCAGTGTACAAAGAAAAAGGCACAATTACCTAATGAACAAGATATTGAGATCTTGTACTTACCGTACAATTAGTGGAAACTGCCTTTATGATGAAATGATCTTCCCTATTTATCGGTTTATTGCAGATAGAGGTGAGAAGCTTGAACGATACGCTTGGCAGAAACTACTGCAGCTCCTTTCTCAATTGGCACCTATTATAAACTTACACACCTGAAGTTACATATTTCTATCAGGGAAAACACTGGGATGCCAGAATGTGCAATTTGAAGATACACTGTTAAAGTCTATATGTTTCGGAAAAATATATCCATACAAAGCAATATTTGCTCCAGGTTCCACCGTCAAAATAACGAGTTACGGAAGAAAATGGACAAAATGCCATAATAATATGTATGGCGACTGCAACTTCTTGGAAATTTACTGATATATGTTAGCATTCACAAAAATCCAATGGAAAAATATGGTGAGATTTAAAGAACAAACTTGCCAGATTAATATTGTCCTCCGAAGTACGAGGATTATATACTGAGATCAAAGAACAAACTTGCCAGATTAAATGAGCATAGCTTAGAAGACGAGTTGGCAATAAAAGCCATGAATTTACCTAGCACCATGTGCCTGGGCAACTCAGATCTCCTGTTCTTTGCAGATCAAGCAAAAATCAGGGGAAATCATAGTGCAAGGGGACATGTGATCCCGTGAATGATTAGTTTTTGGCTGGCAACTCTATACTATATGTATGAGAACAGCTCAATATAATACATGAGTGGTCAGTAATGAAGTGCATAGTCCAGTTGAGGTGATGAAGTCAACACGCAAAGGTGCGTGATCAGGGATGCGGAGCTAGTGGCGTCCCACAAATCGCCGACAAAGTGATGAGCCAGTACAGATTAAACTAACGCCACTAGTACATACAATCCTGCTAGGACCGATTTCTCTAATTTTGAATATGTAGCGGGCTGGATGAATAACGAACATACTCCGTGATTCCAGTTCCATGCGTGTGCGTTTGTTGCCTATAAAAAGAGCACCGCCCTGCTCTCATATGGGCACCATTACCACACATTCTAAGTTCCCACTCGATCTTGCACCATCTTCCTACGTAGCCCAGCCACTCCTTGGAAAGTAGGATCAATGGCCGCATCCCCGCTTAAGATGGCGGCCATCTGCGCGGTGCTGGTGGTCGTCCTCATATATGCTGCGGGCAAGCCGGCGATGGCGTACGTCGACGGGAAACCCTTAGCTTGCCCTAGTGCAGGGACGGCATGCCGCACAGCATGCATACCTGCGTGCAACGCCTTTGCAGAGAAGATGTGCAGCGTGCTCTGCGCCCTTGCTCCAGGGGCGGGCCAGACCTGCGTGAACCAGTTGTTCACCCCTTGCCAGGTCGCCTGCAAGAACTTGTGCGAGCCCCTCCCGGGTCAGACTCGCTGACCAGACTGCTTACGGCGGCACTGGCGGCGCTGGGATATGACATTGCCGGCCATGCATGTTACTTCGGAGCTTATTTACCATTGTGCAATGAACGGGATGTACCTATGTTCGCATGTAGCTCTTTAATGTTTTCTTTCCTTGCACGACAATTTCTGTCAAGCATCACTGGTCGACTATCCATGCATGGATCGATGATGATGGCACACCTATTGTCATGTTACAATATGTTTTACTACTGCTCCCAGTAAGGAGTGGCGTATCCCTCCGTTGCTACGGTTGAACAAGAACATGTAATGGCATTGGAAATAAGAAAAAATACAATCATTTCGCCAAATGAAGGTGTCAATACGTGGTTTACAAATGCTGGCAAATTGGGATGACCAAGACATAGCCAATTCTAGCTGGCCTCATTTCTTTTCAGCCTCAAACACCGACACTCTCACTCTCAGTTTCAGACAAACCAAGTCATATATCCATCAGAACGTCATCCCCCCTCTCTCTGTTTTCAGGATCCGGCTTGCCTGCTCCCTCTCCATGCTCTCATCCGTCCTCCCACTTCATCCTACGGTTGTTTTTTTCCCTTTTTCTTTTCTAATATAATCATCTCCCCCTCTGATTTTCAGGGGGTGGGCCCGGGCCTTATTTTCTTCCAATTAAATTAAGCCACATATGCGGGAGCACGGATGGGAGCATGGGAAGGGAGCAGGCAAGTCTCGTCCCTGTTTTCAACCGTGGGCCTCCTGATTTCCAATCAGCAGATGCCATGTCAGTCTGTAGGTACTAATCCGTGACATTGAGTCCGTAAGTGTAGCATCTCTGTAATATAAGATGCTATTACAACGAAAATTGCTCTTGGAAGCCGAGCTCCATGGAGACCTCCCTTTGCAATTTTCAAAATTCATATTTCTAAGTTTTAAAAAATTCTGAAAAAATACATATATACATGGAGGTATAACACACATGTGTGTAAACTTTCAAGACGAAATACGTTCAAATGAGGGTTGTGCAAAAAACAAAAAACAAAATCTGAAGTTCATGAATTTGTGTTTTTTGTAGAGGTCGCATTCAAGGTATTTCATCCTGAATTTTTACACACATACATCCTTGTATGCTTGTACAGATTTTTTTTTCAGATTTATTTGAAATTGAAATTTTTGAAACATGATTTTTTTTTAAACATTTCGGCCTCCATGAAAGTCGAGCTCTAAAACGCGCTACTCATTACTACAACCAATATATGACTACATTGGTTGTAATAACATCTTATATAGTCCACTTGTTAAGGTATTCTTTGTGTAAAACATAAGCAAGAAGATGATTTTTGGCCGTTCCGCAAAAAAAAGAGGTTAATCCCTGGCAAACAGTCGCTTCCTCGATAGGCATTTGCGAACACATGGGATGGCATATTCACTGTTAGGGGTGGTGGCAGTTTTCAGAAAAAGCATGGCAGTTGTTTATTTTTAGTGCGATTTTCGTGAATAACTGTCATTCTTTGGATCTGGATCATGTGGCTCTGGGGCGTTCGCTGGGATTTCACTCCCAGCGAACGTTCGCCAGATATCATTATAGAAGAAAAAAAAAGGATGATTTCTGAATGGAAAGTTTTTCTTGCTCAAATTGGCCTACTCTTGCCGAGTTGTATCTTGTTTCAAAATTGTATTTATTCCAAGGGGCGTGCTAGGCATCGGCCGGCGGATCTTTTAAAAAGATCCGCCGCCTCGCGAGCCATCAAATCTGGTATACTCCCGCGTTAATGGTCATTCTTCACTTTTTCCACTTTTGCAACATAGATTCTGTTGCGGAAGTTTTTGCAACAGACGACATGTTGCAGAAAACATTTGTAACAAAGGTTGTGTTATAATTTTTTTTTGCAACAAAGATAATATTGTAGACTTTTTTCGCAACATAGATTATGTTGCAGAAAATTTTTTGTCCGCATCGTCGCACCGCCGTGTTGCCACTGCAACATGGGGAACATGGGTGAAGTTGCAAAAATCATAAAACATATGGTGGATGAGACTAATCCACATGTGGTTGGCTCTCAAGGCAGTGTTGCCACTGCAACATTCCGCATGTTTCAGAAACATGAAGGAAGTTACAAAAATCATAAGACATACGGTGGATGGGACTAATCCATATGTGGTTGGCTCTCAAGGCCATGATGCCACTGCAACATTCCCCATGTTTCAGAAACATGAAGGATGTTGCAAAATCTTGATAATAGATACGATAGGTGAGACTAATCCACATGTGATTGGCTTTCAAGGGCAGTGGACGCGAGGCGTAGAATCTGTTCGTACACGTGGTCTGTTGGATCAAAAGTGATCCAACGGCTTCACACACGGCGGACGCGAGAGTGCCATCCGCCGGCTGAAAGGTAACGTTTCCCTTATTCCAAATAACACAATGTGCAAGTTCTTGGAGCCCGTGCTGATGCACTACATAATCGACCAAAGGGTCTACGAGCAGCAGAAGCCCAGAACCGATCCATCATCCATGGCGGCGACTTCAGCACTCTCGATCTTCCTGCTCTTGGTTGTGCTCGCCATGTCGACAAAAGGATCGTCTGCGGCGGGTAGCAGCTGGTGCGTGTGCAAACCAGAGCTGCCGGCGGCGGCGCTGCAGAGGACGCTGGACTACGCGTGTGGCCACGGCGGCGACTGCGCCCCGCTGCTCCCCGGCGGGCAGTGCCACACCGACACGGACACGGTGGCGACGCGCTGCTCCTACGCGGCCAACAGCTACTACCACAACGCCAAGGCCAAGGGCAATGGCCACGGCGGCGCCACCTGCGACTTCGGCGGCACCGCCACCCTCACCTCGACAGACCCAAGTACGTGCGGCCCTCTAGCCTGCTGCTTCGATCGCTAGCCCTGCCATCTTTATTTGATCTGAGGTGGATGTGCATGTATAATTCCATTGATGGTTACAAATTGTACCTTGATCTTGCAGGCTCCGGGACTTGCCGATACCCTGCAACAACTGCCCCTGCCTCTTCCCCGGCTGGTGCCCCCTGGGAGTTGTGGATGTTCCTCTTGGCGATCATCGCCATCTTCGTTTCTCTGTGCTGTTGTGTGGAGATGCACGAGCAACGGCGCAACACCTGCCGGCATTGAACCGTTCCGTAGGCTGCTTGTGCTTTGATACTCACCTGCCCGAGTATATACTAGAAGGGTTGGACGCGTTTTGCTGCCCCGTAGGTGTTATTGAGATTCTTAAAAAAGTTGCTAAATGCAATTCTTTAAGTTTGATCAAATTTATGAAGAAATATATCAAAATTCGTAATATCAAATTGGTGTTATTAGAATCATGAAATGAATTTCCATAATTTTTTGGCATAATATTGTGGATGTCGATATTTTTGGCTCTAAACTTTGTCAAAGTTAAAAGAAATTTGACTTTCCAAAGAATCAATATCCCATGTATTTTGAAACTGATGGAATATTTAGTTTGGCGGATTGGGGAGACGATAGGGTGTATTTTATGTTTATTTATAATTTGGTTATTTGGCGGGCGTTTTATGGTGTGATTCTGTGTGTTGGTAAATTTTTGTGTCAGTGGCTACATGTACTATATTGGTGCTATAGTGTCATCATATGATGGCGCTTCTTTTTTGTAGGTGGTAAGAGGGTGCACGGGGTTGATATGGTTTTTTAGCCGGTTGGTGTTGATTGATTTGAAAAAACGTTGGCCCGATAAAAATCGTAAACCAAATTTAAAATTGAATATCTCAATCGAATAAAAGAGCTTCAAAATTAAGAAATATGGTGAATTAAAATAATTAAATGAGAGAGCTCTTTGAGAAATTATTGAACCGGTCAAAATCACTAACCAAGTTTTAAACTAGAGACCTTAATTAATTGTGAGGACTTAAAAATTGGGAAACATAGTGTATAGTATAAAACAATTGAATGAGAGCTTTGAGAAATTGTTGACTTGGTCAAAATCGGGTGACCCAATTTCAATTGGACATTTCAATTGATTGTAAGGCATTTTACTCCTAGGGAGCTTAGTGATATAGTAGATGTTTCTCGTGGGCTCACACTATTGGGTACTCGCTTTATAAACTAATATAAGACCGTTTATAAGATCACTAAATATATATTCCCTTTTCAAAGAAAAAATCCCTAAATATTTTTGTTGCCGGTTGACATTATTGAGTACTCCCTCTGTAAACTGATATAAGACCGCTCATATTAGTTTTACGGAGGGAGTACATGATTCTGGTTACTAACTCTACAGGGGTTTATAAGCAGGACGGATTTTAGGTGGTCAATTTCATGTATCTGTGTTTACAAGTTTATATTAGGTTGTCATTTAACGAGTGCAAAATTGGCATATGTCGCAACAAATATATCACTGAATTCGTCGGCAAATAAAGTTTCCAAATATATGCTTTTTAAAGCACATTACACACATTCATAGTGGCATAATCTTTAGTTAAACTGACGATCTAAGTCCAAGCTACTACCTGATCTTTTTTCCATCTTTTTGCCTAAAAGAGCCAGTACATCATCGAGGGAATCTGCAAAACTAAATAGAACATACCATTGTGCAAAGTTTAGTGGAACAACAAAAGTTCAAGTTCAGGCTTTCAGCCTTTCAGTTTGTAGCTCTGCATAGATAGCTAGCTGTGTGCATCCAGCATTACTGACATGATATCTGTATATGTAACCAGAATATTTATGTATTCGCAACAGGTAGAAACAAACAAAATACAGGACACTTGATCACACGTTACGATCCTCACGTACAGATTACAGCAGAGATCGAACAACTTGTACGTTGGTGACTCTGGGCAGTTTGTGAGTGACAAGGCGACATCTGCCAAGTTGTGTATCGTACATTACCAAATGGACTATTATACACATGTCAGCACATCGATTCTCTTTTACGACCTCACTTTGGCGAGCCTTTCTCTTATCTTTTCTAGATCATCATCGTCGTCATCAACGGATTCCGCTACAGCAGTTCTCTGCACACGGTGAAAAGATTCTTGT